TTAGAATGTACAGGAGAGCGCACCAAAATAACAACATAAAGAGTAATATTCCGATGACGCTGGAAATTGTGTTCTCTTCATTTACAGTGTTTATTGATATCCTTATGATTTCAGAATTATTTTTTATTAATTTCTGCTTTATTTCGGGGCGTAGAATACATATTTAGAATTCTTTTTCAATTCACTCTCCGCGTCTCTGCTTACATTTACAGTAACACTTTTGTAGCTGCGTGGTTACCAATCTAATTGTGCTCAGGTTTCCTGAGATGCTTTGCAAGAAAATATTCCTGAACCCGAACTTGCATCATATCAGACAAAGGAGCCCACAACTGTAACTTATCCTGAACCAATCAAGTTCATTAGAGCACATGTTTTTTTTTTCCTTGGCACTACAGCCACAGTGGGCCTAGGCCTACCTCCATGAACTTCTCCGTTCACTTCGGTATTTTCTTGATCTTACACATTCGGTAGGACTCCTTGGGCGGGTGATCAGCTCGTCGCAAGGCTTCTACCTGCATACAAACACAGAAAAACGCACACACACAAACTAAACATCCATACCCTAAGTAGGATTCGAACCCACGATCCCGGTTTCCAAGCGAGCGAAGATAGTACATGCCTTAGACCGCTCGGCTACCGTGACCGGCTTAGAGCACATGTGCTAACTCTTTTTCTAAGATACATTCTAACTTGACGTCATGCTTCCTACCACTGCTTGGAATCCCCAATGGGCTCTTCTTTGAATGCTTTCAGCGATTTTTTTTTATATTTTTTTTTGCATTTCTTTTTTACCCAAGCGGGTGCTACAAGTCCCGTAAATCTCGACCTTCATTGGGCCGATCACAGCTTCCCCTCGGTCTAAGGGTCACATTGGATTCCAGCGTTCGAGTGCTGCTCCTCTCTTGTGCCAGGAGAGGACTTACAATGGACTATCAGACAGGCAATTTTGCCGAAAATCTATACATTCATTGAATATAATTAATTCTGGTCCAGAACAGATCAGAGGGAATAATCAGTGAAAGCAGAAGAAGACGAAGGCGAAGAAGAAGAAGAAATATGATAATCTCGGGTCTCCACGCTAATTATTCCTTTTCATTTGTATTTCAACGATTCTATCAGCATCAACATTATACATGGCGAATCTTAGTCGCATACCTACAATATAAGAATCGTGTTAGACACTTACAGACAAGCAGAAACTACTATATAAATAAATGGCCACAAAAAATAATGTGGTTACAGATAAAGAGTTTATTAGATTGAACAGCCCGGCATCTGGCCAATTACTAAATGCTGACAAAACATGTTAAAACGGTCCGCCATTACAGTTAATGTATAACTGAGCCCTCCTGCGCCAAGGCTTCCTGGTACACTGAAAGACGTCAGTTAGGTTGCTTATTGCCTCAGCCACTTCAATGGCATTCAACAGCTCGTCTCCTTTGTTACAACGTTGGACGTAAACAATGATCTCCAGGTGGTACCACAAGTAGAAGTTGACTAGAGTGAGATCGGGTGATCACGGAGGCCACACAGCTGGTCCATTTCGTCCTATGTATCAGCCTCGTTATTGGCTGTCTAAATACCGTATAACGTAGCGAGAAGCATGGGCAGGAGCCTTATCATGCAGTACCCACATTGTCTGCCGCACTGACAATGGTACATCAGCCGGCAGATGCGAACTATTCAGAGAGAAACTGCAAATATGAGATCCCTGATAATCAAGCAGCTTCTCACAAAAACTTTGGAGGAAATTTCAAGATATTGTCACCGAAACATGTGTTGCAAACTGCTGCTGTGATCATGATGCTTGAAAGGGATGTAGATTTTAATCAGCCCAGGTTTGCTGGTTACCAGTCTCATGCCGTATGAAGCATGCTTCAGTCATCAGCAACTCTCTCCTGAGGACATTTGAAGACGCCTTATCCTGTTACAGTATCTATTCCCAGAACGTTTTCTTACGCTCATAATCTAGTGGCGGTTGCAGAGGTTAAACATTAAATGGATTCAATAGCGGATCGTGCAACACCCTCAGGACCGTACACCGAGGAATGTGGTGTCGACAGGCCAACCGCCTAGTACTAACACCAAGTGATCGCTCTACGGCACGCACATCGACAATCCTGTGTAACTCAGTGTATACCAGCGCTTTTCATATTGTGTCGTATACGACCTGTTTCTCTCAGACGACGCTCTAGTGAAACTGATGCCCTGAGATTTGTATGCCGCCGGTGCGGACAGCTTTTAGCGTGCAGACCTTCAGCGGCCACAATATTACGCTTTCAATTTCCATAGGACAACATCATATCTGTCCGTTCATCGCAAGAATACTCCACACTGCACATTTTTCGATGCGTAACGTGTCTACAGCGGTGAACACCATGGCACCAGAACATCAAAAGCAATGACTTCGTACGAATCTCTAGACTGAATGATTTAAGTATTTATCCGTTTTGCGGTGATGCGTAGTAGTTGCCATAATTCGTTAACTAAGCGGTCACGACCATGTGAAAATTTCTGCTTGCATGTTAGGGCGAGGGCACATCAAGGAAACTGGCAAACGCAAAGCAACTGCAATTTCCGAGAATTTCTGTCAGTCTGAGTTGAAACTTTGTTACTGAATGGAGCAGGGAAAATTGAGGAAACGGTAACTCGTAAACAGCCAATAAACATATGTTGATAAAATAGTGCTTTTTTTTTAATATTGTTGTGTAGACTTACCCCATTATATATATATATAATACCCGAAATATATTATTTCACTTACATTCTCAAACATAGAATACGTAGTCAATTCGCAGCACGGAACGGGTGACATAAAACCATGAAGCAGTACAACCGGAACAGTACGTGCCTCGACCAATATTCGGACCGGCTGCGTTCTGACGCACAACCACTAAAGAATCAAACGTAATTATTTAATGGTTGGCACTCATACTTCGTATTCTGTGGGCCCAGGACTGATAATTTGAATGGATGTTGAGAATCCTGACCGATGTTTCTGTGGATGCTCTCAATTCCTATAAGAAAAAGATCTAGAACATTACAAATGAAAAGGACCACTTCGAGGCGCGTCCATTTAATTAATTATTTCTCAGACTCTTCCAATTTGCGGCTAAGGTAGAGTTGTCCCTGCGCTTAATGAACTGAGAATCACGCCATGAAAACGTATGGGGAGTGGAAGTATGACACTACTATTTTTACCTTGGCACTAGTTGGTGGTGAGGCGCTTAATAGATTGGTAAATATTTGGCGGGTTTCGACTTTCTGAGTCTAATGGTTATGTTCCTCGGTCATCGAGGTTAATATGCAGCTGTCCGAATCCTCTTCGTCTTGCTTGTTAGAAAGACTACAAAGGTTTTTGAAGGGATAAATATATACAACCTAAAATTTTGGACTCGGGTTATTTCGGCTATATTTTTGAGACGTCAAAACCCATTTTTAAAGACGTTACAATTACGGTTACTTCCCTAATTCACAAGTCGACTCATTAACCCCCGAAGATAGAACCCGCAATAACAATTGGAGAGGAAGCCGGTGTGAATAAAATTTTCTGAGATCCTTAATCTATAAAAGCTACTTAAAATGTGACTTAGCCATTAAAATAATTATTAATAAACCTTAAAAATGTTTATCGATTACTTCTTGTTATACAAGTATACTGTGTTCTTGTAACTGAACGTATCCTTTTCTTACGAATTTATATGAACAAATTACGCTTCCTGGAGGCCTACAAAAAACTTTCATAGCCCCCTTGGAGGCTGCAGCTCCTACCCTGGGAAACGTTGTTTTAAATTGTCGGTCACCGTCATCCAATTGTTATACACTACGTAACGTGTGCAGTTCAAAATATGTCATGTGTAGTCATAACTAATGCAAGGTAACGTAAATTTGTTCATGCCCTTAACTGATTAAACACTACGCCATGAAGACGTATGGGGAAGTGGATGAATAGATCCACGTATTCTTGACATAGGCACTCGTTGGAAGAGAGTGGCCAGTTACACGCTTCTGCCGCTTTACTCCCGAGGAAGTGACTACAGTACCCACTGGATAGAAGACTGGGTGTGCCCCAAAACCGGTCTCGACGATGTGGAGAGGAGAAAAACTGTGCCCCTACCAGCATTCGAATTCTCACCCCTCGGGCGTCCAGTCCGTAGCCAGTGTACCGACTACGCTATCCCTGCTCCAAGCTAAGCAGAATATTCTTACGTTATGCTCTTCAAGCTGCTGGTCATCACTCGTAAGTGGATAGAGGGAAATAATTCATGGTTCACGGCTTATTGGTTTATTGTACGGCAGAATCAGTTACTTTAAGTGAATTTAGACAAATTTTTAAAACTGTCTTCGTATTTTTTTTATTTACATCTCCCCTCTTGGACAAATGTGTTCAATTTTCTGCATGAAAACTGACTGAACTCAAGTGCGATGTTCATACAAACAGAGTTAATATGAAACACATATCAACACATACACGATAATATGAAGGCGCTGGCACCGTAATTTTAATCTAGGTTTTACATATGGGCCTACTACATGTACTGCATGCACTGACAAAAACGCCTGTGCCGGCAACATAGAGCAATCGACCAATAAATAATAAAGGTTGTAACAGTAATATAATATTTTAAAGCTGCAAGGTATGAAAAGTCATAGTGTTTAAATGAGCTAGTAATCGTTAGATTTTACTGCGATAAACATAGTGTACCGGTTCTCGAAAAAGCTCACTACTGTTTTACAGGACCGTATATCAGAAAAAGTTGCAAACCACTGACATATAAGCAATATGTCGTATTGTCTGGTACCATATTGCACTCTGGCGCCTGGTGTTGTATTATGAATCGTTGCAGGTTAAATACGTATATTATATAGTTGGCATATGTGACATGATGAAGTTGAAATCGTTAATTAAACAGATGCAAGAGTCCATTATCTCTTATATCATGCCTAAATGTTTTAATCTTGCTGTCACTATGTGCAAAGAAAACACAGTCTTCACTTACCATTGTACAACGCAGCCATTTTGAACTCTGGAAGAGCGCGGCAGATTGGGTGTGGAATTGCTTCAAACGAAATTAATATATCTTGTCAGTTTACACCCTCAAAATTTTCGTTGTCTCCTTATTCCTCACCTCATTCCGTATCACTGCCATGACAGACAGACAACTAACATGCATCGCTGGTGGTATGTGGCATGTAATGTTATATGTCTTCATGTATCAATTCAGCTGTACGTGTGCGCACACCGGCTGATAAGAAAATCGAGCGTGTGTTGCGTTTCCTCCCACTCTGCTTGGCAAACAGTTGCTGTCTGCCACGGAGGAAACCCCCCACCACCAACATCTACCGCATTCGATCAATGGCATAGCCTCTGGAAGCTCTGGAATGGATACGAACCATTGTCGTGTGAAGAGGGGGAATATCGTGACGTTATATTAAATGCAAGTGATCATGGAATGTATATAACCATGCAATTCAAGAAGAATCAAGTTTATGAATTGAAGATTTCTGTGGGGCGTGGTTGTCCCTCATTTCTTTGATATTGTTTGAGTTGATATCAGAACGACGATTTTTAATTTCATTATTGTTTCTACGTCACTAACTGCCTGGAACAGAGGCCTTCCTGAGAAGCTGATAGTCACTCAGATGGTTAAAAAAATTCGACGCCGTTTATGGAACTCGACAGTGTGATTATTGCTTCAAATGATTATGTCACTGCATCCTGTCCGAGACAGATGAATGAAGTGCACCGTATCACATCCTGTTTCTGTAAGATCCATTTCATTATTATCCGCCTACATATGAGAAATTCTCCGATTGGTTTCGTCTGTTCACATTCCCCAAATAAAATTGTTTACGCATTTGTCACATGCGTGTTTCTTCCGTCTTATATTCCTTGAACTGATGACTGCAATAATACCGGTTCATAACACATACTGTAACCTCTTTTTTTATTACTTTTCTCTGTCTTCCCATTGTCTTCTCTCTCTTAGGTTCAAATATTTGTTTTACTTTTTTGTAAATTTATTACTTTCTTCGTATTTCTTTTTCCTGAGGTATCGGTCCAAACACCTGCTCAGCTCTACTTTACGATTGACCTGCTATCATTTCCTGGATTGACAAATATTTCTTCTTACACGAAACCGATAATTCAGAATTGTAATACAAAGTCGATCTACTTGTATTCAATGTCTAAGACAACACCAATATTCAGGGTACAATATACAGTACTATTCAGGTGTATATCATGGAGATTATTTCTAACTTCTTAACTTCTAACGTTCCTGTTATGAAAATCGCTGATGTCTTTTCCTGCAGTCTGTATTATGCATTTTTGAAGTTGACCAATTTGGAGTCTAAATCTATCTCTCGTTATTGTTCTCACATGTCTCACCTCAGTACAGAAAATTCTTCACTTGTAAATATTTCTTTAAAATCAGTTTTGAATGAGATGCCGGTAGAAACACGCTTCGGTAGGATATAATTAGTGCAATGTCTCAAAAATATGAAAATGTTGGAGACTAGGCTTTATTTATTACCGATGTGTTTCGTAAACGGTACAGTATACTGCGGTTCCTTGGCTGTCGTTCGTATTTTTCGTCATAAAACTTCCTTTATCCTTTCTTTTAAATAAATTTGGTCCTCTGAAAAATTAAAAAAGTAAATAAACAAATACGGTATCCTACGACACACATTCTTTAGAAATTCATTAATAGTTATTATGTTTTAAAAATGTAAACTTCAGCTGAGGAGAGAACTGATAGTCAGTGTCGACGATTAAGAGGGGTCGTATCATAACATATGCGAAATTCCACTGTTGCCAACGGTAGTTATTCTCCCGCTTAACAATGAACTGTAGGTCACTGCATCCCGTCTGATCATGTGCCTGTTTCTTGTGCTCTTAAGGACGCTAAAGTCTGTTGTCATTGGTGCGTGGGCTCTAAGGGACAAAGAGAGAATAAGGGAGAGCTCCATGTGTAATGAAATCTGACCACTCTTTCGTTACATGTCGACAGATTAAAGGTTGCCAGGAAAATAATAATAACTGGAAAGGATCTATACAAATACTGAGGTACGAATTAAAGCAGCAAATCGATAAAAAAAAAGTTTCAGCCCACAGTAGGCTTAAAATAAGTGCAGGTATGCGGTATAACACCAATTCTTTTTAATTAATATTCACAAATTAAATGTTGAAGGTAGATACTAAAGATGAGAATACATATTCTTTGTGTTTTGCTACGATCAAGTGATTGTAATCCAAAACAAAGATGATTCTGCCTACATAACACGAAAGTTTTCAAAATAATAGAGAAAGTAAAGAGAGGAAGTAAACATAAAAAAAAATCGGTTGCTCTAGGTACTTCATAAGCATAAGATTTATAAACTGAAGGATAAAATATAAAATGATATTCCTTGTATAAATATTT